CTCTCTCTCTCCTCCTCTCTCTCTCTCTCTCTCTCTCTCTCTATTCTCTCTCCCCTCTTTTACATCTATCATTTTACATTTTTTTTTTTTTTGTAAAGTCATAATTTACTCTTAATCACCCGTTCCATCGCGGGGAGATTTTAGTTTTTCTCATAGTTGTAACAAACATTTGAACAATATTTCTTTATTTTTTTCTTCTTTTTACATCCATCCTGAAATGAACTCACCTCATTTTGTGTCATCGTTTGACCTGAATTGAAATTAAAGTTAATCAAATCAGATTGATTTTTAAATTAAATTCAAATGAATTGATGATATGAAATAAAGTAAGAGAGAATGAAAGAGAGAGTAATGGAAGAGAATGTTTTGAGAAAGAAGAGAGACGAATAAAATACAGTGAGAGTAATTAAATGGAATGAAATTGAAATGGAATGAATTTATTCGAGAAACGATTTTCATCTGTTCATTATTCCAACCCACTGCAGTTAAAAGCCTTCTTTCCTCCCTTTACAAAAAGCAAAATCAAATTTTCATTTTTCTTTTTTTTTTTTGATAATAACACTGTTGAGAGAAAACCCATGGGTATCGGTTTGGGTATTTATATGGGTAGGTGTGAATACGGGCATGGGTACAGTACAAGAAGAACAGGTGCGAGTATGGGTTTGCGTGTAGGTATAAGTTTGGATATAGGCGTGGGTATGAATATGGGTATGGGTATAGGTATTAATATAGGTGATTGAGTATAGATTGAATATATGTATGGACTTAAGTAGGTACGAGTATAGGCAAAGGTATAGGTATAAATAAGGGATATGAGTATATGTATGGGTATGGATATGGGCATAGTTTGGATATAGGAAGAACATAACTTTGGGTATATGGGTATAAATATAAGTATGGCTATAAGGATGGGTATAAGTATGAATGTGGGTATGAATATGGGTATGGGTATAGGTATGAATATATTGAGTTTAGTCAGAGGGATAGATATGAAAATGGGTATTGGTTTGGGTATATGTAAGGGTATGGGTATAAATATGAATATATTGGGTTTAGTTAAAGGGATAGATATGAAAATGGGTATTGGTTTGGGTATATATAAGGGTATGGGTATAAATATGAATATATTGGGTTTAGTTAGTAGGGAGTAGATAT